AAAAAAAAAAAAAGAAAGAAAAAGAAATTAAGAAATGCTTTAAGAATTATCCAGGTAGGCAGCATCTGTAGCTCAGTGGGCACCAGCCCCATATACCAAGGGTGGCGGGTTCAAACCCAGCCCTGGCCAAACTGCAACAAAAAAATAGCCAGGCATCGTGGTGGGCGCCTGTAGTCCCAGCTACTCAGGAGGCTGAGGCAAGAGAATCACTTAAGCCCAGGAGTTGGAGGTTGCTGTGAGCTGTGGTGCCTGATGCCATAGCACTCTACTGAGGATGATAAAGTGAGACTCTATCTCCAAAAAAAAAAAATTATCCAGGCACAGTCGTGAGTGCCTCTAGTCCCTGCTACTTGGAAGAGTGAAGTGGGAGGATCCCTTAAGCCCAGGAGTTTGAGGCTACAATGAGCTATAATCATATGCCACTGCACCCCACTAGGCAACAGAATCAGACCCTGTCTTAAATAAATAAATATCAGTACATCCCATATCCCATTGTAATAGTGATTGGTTAGAGCAGAGGTTCTCACCCAGGTCTGATTCTGCCTCCCAAGGGACAATTGGCAATGTCTGAAGGCACTTTTGATTGTCCAAATTGAGGGAAGAGGTGCTGCTGGTACCTAATGGGTAGAGACCAGAGATGCTATTAAACATCTTACAATGCACAGGACAGCTCCCCACAGCAAAGAACAACTTGACTCCAAATATCAGTATTACTAAGATCAAGAAACCCTAGGTTAGAAGATGGATATACAGGCTCAGTGCCTGTAGCACAGTGGTTACGGTGTCAGCCACATACCCCAAGGCTGGCAGGTTTGAATGCAGCCCGGGCCAACTAAACAACAATGACAACTGCAACAACAATAAAAAAAAAAACAGTTGGGCATTGTGGTGGGCACTTGTAGTCCCAGCTACTTGGGAGACTGAGGCAAGAGAACCACTTAAGCCCAAGAGTTTGAGGTTGCTGTAAGCTGTGACGCCACAGCACCCTACTGAGGGCGGCATAGTGAGACTCTGTCTCAAAAAAAAAAAGAAGAAGAAGACAGATATATAACCCAAGTGGAGTCAACAGAAAATCAACTGCAAGACTAGAAGTTTCTGGCTCAGCGCCTGTGGCTCAAGTGGCTAAGCCGCCAGCCATGTACACCCAAGGTGGCGGGTTCGAATCCAGCAGGGGCCCGCCAAACAACAATGATGGCTGCAACCAAAAAAAAGAGCCAGGCGTTGTGGTGGGCACCTGTGGTCCCAGCTACTTGGGAGGCTGAGGCAAGAGACTCACTTGAGCCCAGGAGTTGGAGGTTGCTGTGAGCTGTGATGTCACAGCACTCTACCCAGGGGGACAGCTTGAGGCTCTGTCTCAAAAAAAAAAAAAGACTAGACGTTTCCTTTACTTCCTTGGAAGTAAGAGAAATATGGTGTAAGATCTTTACCTATTCTGCTAACACAGAGATAGGGCTGAAGCTGAATGGAATGGGTTAGTTTGGGCACCATGTGAAGCCTGAGGATGAAACTGTTGCACAGAGAAAGCTATACAAATAAAGAAAATCTTACCCTTGTCATCTCACTTCAGCCACTAAATCAAATCGCCTCTGAACCTATCTTAGCTAAAGAAAAAAAATAAAACCCTTTCCTGTTTAAGCCAGTTGAGTTGACTTTTGTGTGCTCTTGCAACCAAGAGCACTCCAACTAACAGAAAGAACCAATGGACACTAAATCTAGTCTTCTTTCCTGGAGGGCAGCTGTATAAATATAACCATGTCTTGGAGCACAGTTTTTTGCAAGAAACAGAAATCCACCCATGCTGAGGTATGTAAAGAAGTACTGGCTGGGCACAGTGGCTCGTGCCTGTAATCCCAGCACTCTGGAGGCTAAGGCAGGTAGATAGCTTGAGCTCAGAAGTTTGAGACCAGCCTGAGCAAGAGTGAGACCCCCCATCTCTAAAAATAGCCGGGCACTGTGGCAGGTGCCTGTAGTCCCAGCTACTTAGGAGGCTAAGGCAAGAGAATCACTTGAGCCCAAGAGTGTGAGGTTGCTGTGAGCTATGATGCCATAGGACTCTATTGAGGGTGACAGAGTAAGACTCTGTCTCTGTCTTATTACAGAAGTTCAAGATTATTTCTAGAATCCAAAGTAGCACAAAGTTAAGGTGACATTCAAGTAGAACTAGCATCAGGCACTTAGAAGGCAACTAATAAATACCTGTTGATAGCAATTGAATGAATGCTCCATTAACTAGAATTTTTACTGCACTGGGACTAATACTCCCTGCAGGCTTCAGGAACGATTTGAACTCTGAACTCCAATTCCCCCTGCGTATTAGCTCCATTCTTCTGTTCTGCTTGTTCATCCACTACCTCAAATTGGCTACCAATATTCCTTTCTTTTTGCAGTTTTTGGCTGGGGCTGGGTTTGAACCCACCACCTCCTATACATGGGGCCAGCGCCCTACTCCTTTGAGCAACAGGTGCCACCCACCACCAATATTTCTTAATCTGCTGGTGACCTTAAAAGTTCCACCATCATCTCCAGTTAACTTCCCCATCATCTCCAGTAAAGATAGTTCTTGAGCAAGGGAATCTGACTGGCTGATCTTAAGTCAGGTGATCAGTCTTGATCTGAAGAGTGGAGTCATCTGCCAAAAGTGGAAGCAGGCAGGTCAAATGGGTGTACCCCAAGATGGGAGTGTGAGTAGGCTTTAGGAAACATAAATCCCACCACCACACACTCCCCACTTGACCTAGACACAGACCAATGACAGAGTGTTAACTATTCCTTTATTAGGTGGGGAGGGGAGTGGGGACTGTACAGTGAAGGACCTGGGGATCCAGCTACATAGGGACTGTGACCAGAAACCATATTACAAAAATAGCCTAAAAATACTTCTATTCTGCCATGAGGCTGGGCCAGGAGAGTACCAGGAAGAAGTGTCTCCCAGGCAGCCCCTCCCGTTTCCTGTAGTCCCATACTTACATGGAGACAACATGGAATGCACACATCTCCCCTGGCCCTCATTTCCCACCAGCCACTCCCCAGTCCCTAAAGGGAGGTGACCCCAGCTTTGGGGTAGTGTGGCTGGAGGTGAGTTCTAAGGCCAGAAGGGCCCTTCTCCTTCAAGGCTATAAAACAAATCCCATCTGGAATGCAGTGAAGTGAGGGAGGTGGGGTAGGGAGAAGGCTCCCAACTTTCCCCCAACCCCTGGCCCTGGAGGGTGTGCCCAAGGGTGCCTACTTGGTACATACCCAGGTCGTGTACTCAGTACATGGGATCCCAGTCATGCATGCCTGTGTACTCAGTACACAGAATCCAGCTTGGCCAAATGGGCCCACAGACTCAGCCCCACAGGGGCACTGGGGGAGGGGAATACAGAGAGGGAAGGGAGCATCTCCATATATATATTTTGTAAAAAATAATAATAATAAGTTCGTTTAAATGAATTTTTGTTTCTATACAAAATGTAAAAAAAGGAAGAAAAATAATAATAATTCACTTGTGTCAGAGTATGAGGGAATGAGAGGCCAGGAGGCAAGAAAGGAAGGAGAGAAGAGAGAACTTAGGGGTGGGGGGGGTGTTCCCACCCCTTATAAATAAAGGAAGACTGAAGGTCTGCGCTGGTGACCTGTCTCAGTCACACTGCAAGGCAAAGGTGCAGGAGGATTGGTGGAGAGAGAGAGAGAAGAGAATGAAACAGACTAAAAAGAAAAGAAAGAAAGGAGAATGGGATGTCTCTTCAGCCCCCCAAAATCCAGGACCAAGGAGGGTCTCAGGCCAACACCTGCCTCTTGGGGGTGACTTCGGGCTGGGGTCCCAGCTGGGTCTGGGCCTGAGCCAGGGAGCCAGGGACAGACAAAGGGAGTGGCTGAGCAGGCAGTGCCCCAGTGGCAGTGGCAGTGGCTGGGCTGGGCGTGGAGTCCGACCAGTCCGAGAGGGAGGGAGGCGATGGGCTGGCCCAGTGCTCCGGAGACTCAGGGGATGGGGTCAGATAAGGATGCTCACTTGGGACCCGCAAGAAGCGGGCCTTGGGGGGGCTGCCGTGGGCCCCGGCCGTCGGATACTCCTCGGCATGTCCTGGGGCTGCCAGGTAGGGTGGGGGCCGCTCCTGAGGGGAGATGGGGGTCCCAGGGTTGAGCAGCTGTGGTGCTGGCGCCAGTGGCAGCAGGAACGAAGGGCCTGGAGGGGCAGGTGGGGGCAGCCGGGCCCAGTCGAGGGGGACTGCCACAGGGTTCAGCAGGCCCAGGCTAAGCACGCAGCCCCCAGGGGGCTGGCGCCCTAGACCAGCCCGCCCAGCACCACCAAGCTGCGCCAGAGACACGGCAGTGGCAGTGGCAGCTGCGTAGGGGCCCTCCATGGGGAAGCCACTAGGGGAAGCAGGGGGCCCACCAAAGGGCCGCGGGGAGTCCAGTGAGTCCACGGGTGACAGCGTGACTGAGCTCTCAGCCAGCGGTCCCGGGCAGGCCAGTGTCAGCTTCTTGCCCCGGCCCCGGGCCCCCTGCGGCCCCAGCCCCGCCTTCCCGGGGGGCCGCCGGCTCTTTTTAGCCCCTGACTGTGTCACCTTGAGGCCCGGGAGGAAAGCCCCAGGTGGGCAAAGCAGGGGCCCTAAGCCATGGGGGCCGGGAGGGCTGCGGGGCCCACTGGGCTGGTCTAGCAAGCGCACGATGTCCTGGTGTAGCCGCTCCTGAGCCACATCCCGTGGCAGCCTGTCCAGGTGGTCAGTGATCTCACGGTTGGCAAAGTGGTCCAAAAGCAGCTTGGCAGCCTCGTAGCTGCCCTCGCGGGCTGCCAGGAACAGCGGTGTCTCCTCCTAGGGGGGCCAGAACCCACAGAAGTCAGAGTCACCCTGACCAACTGAGCCTGAAAGCTAGGAGTTTGTCCATAGACCTGGGTTAAAGCCTGTCTATGCTGAGGAAACCTGGGCAAGTTCTTGAACACCAAAAACTAGTCACCAAAGTAAATGATATTTTAATGCAATGTTTTCTAAGAAATAAAGTTAATGCAAAAAAGTCCATAAAGAATAAAATATTGAAATTTTAGGCTAGGCGCAGTGGCTCACATCTGTAATCCTAGTACTCTGGGAGGCCCAGGCAAGAGGATCACTTGAGCTCAGGACCAGCCTAGACAACATAGTGAGACTCTGTCTCTACAAAAAAAATAAGAAAAATTATCTGTGCAGCTATTTGGGTGTTTGAGGCAGGAAGATCACTTGAGCCCAGGAGTTTGAGGCTACATAGAACTGTGATGATGCCACAGCACTCTTGCTCAAGTGACAGAGGGAGACTCCATCTTAAAAAAAAAAAAATTGAAATTTGAAACACAGACAGAATTCACTCCTACACACTTCTGAGCCTCACCCTTTCCATTTGTAAAATGAGGTCACATAATACTACCTTGAGAGAATTTTTAAACGACAGTTACCTTTTATTGAGGATCCACTAAGCACTTTACAAATGCATTAGCTCACTGAATCCTCAGGAGATGCAATGAGATGGGTACTGTTCCTTCCCCATTTCACAAAAGAAGACACTGAGGTTTAGAGAAGTTCAGAGAAGTCAAGCAACTTGCCCAAGGTCACACAGCAACTGCCACAAACTTCCTCCTTTGATTCACTGTTAAGAACCTCTGAGCCCTAAATCCTACCCTTAAAAGCTGACATGGTAAATATCCCCACCAGTCTTATCTCACTCTGCTCTCTGCTTCCTGCATGGAGCTGTGCCTGTAATAACACCGAAGGGGACTGCGGGCCAGGGCTCACCTTGCTATCCTGCATGTCCTTGTTGGCTCCATTTTTGAGCAAGGCCAGGGTGGCCTCTACATTGTTCACAGCTGCAGCCCAGTGTAAGGCTGATTTCCCTGGGGGGTAAGGAGGATAGGTAAGGACCAGGCCCCTGTTCCAGGCTCCCCCACATCAGGGAGGCAAGAATTGTCTAGAATATGGCCTGGGGAAGAGGGGGAAGGCCTGCAATGAGTATTTGAGCACTGTGTTTGGGTTTATGTGTGTGCAGATCTGTGGAATAACTCTTTCTGTCCAAGGGGTACACTCCGTGTATGTGTGTATGTGTGTGTGATTCTCCATACCCAGGGGGCATTGTGATGAACCTAGAGCTGTGGTGTCCAATACTGTAGCCAATAGTCATTGGTGGTTCTTTAGATTTAAATTAAATAAAATAATCATTCAATGAAGAAAAGAATAGTCTTCTCAACTAATGGTACTGGAACAATTGGATCTCCACATGCAAAAGAATGAAGCTGGACTTCTACCTCACACCATATATACAAATGAACTCAGAATGAATCAGAGACCTAAATGTAAGAGCTCAAACTATGAAACATCTAGCCAAGCAGGTGGCTTATGTGGAAGAATCACGTGAGGAGTTTGAGACCAGTCTCAACAATATAGCAAGATCTTATTTCTTTTTTATTCTTTTTTTTTTTGCAGTTTTTGGTCAGGGCTGGGTTTGAACCCACCACCTCCAGCATATGGGGCCAGCACCCTACTCCTTTGAACCACAGGCACCACCTGCAAGATCTTAGTTTTTAAAAAAAATTTTTTTTAATTAACCAAGAGGTTGAGGCAGGAGGATCGCTTGATCCTAGGAGTTCAAGGTTACAGTGAGCTATTATTAGGCCACTGTACTCCAGCCGGGGTGACGGAGCAAGACCTCATTTAAAAATATATATATATATCTTCTCTCATATATGCACATACATGAGAAGAAAACATGGTATTAAGTCTTCATGACTTTGAATTAGGCAAAGGTTCTTAGATATAACATCAATAACACAAGCAACAATAACAACAAAATAGATAAATTAGACATCATTAAAATTAAGACTTCTATAGACATCATCAAGAAAATAAAAAGAAAACCTACAAAATAGGAGAAAATATTTATAAATCACTTATTCAATTAGGCATTAGGGACTTACATCTATAATACATAAAGAACTCCTATAACACAATGACAAAAGGACAAATAACTCAGGCCAGTGCAGTGGCTCAAGCCTGTAATCCTAGCACTCAGAGAGGCCAAGGCAAGTGGATTGCCTGAGCTCATAGGTTCAAGATCAGCCTGAGCAAGAACAAACCTCCATCCCTAAAAATAGCCGGGCATTGTAGTGGGTACCTATAGTCCCAGCTACTCAAGAGGCTGAGACAAGAGAATCACTTGAGCCCAAGAGTTTGAGTTTGCTGTGAGCTGTGATGCCATAGCACTCTACTAAGGGTAACAAGTAAGACTGTCTCAAAAAAAAAAAAAAAAGACAAAAATAACTCCATTTTAAAATGGGTGGGAAAAGGATCTAAATAAACTTTTCTCCCAAGATAATACACAAATGGCCAGTAAGCACAGGAAAAGATGCTCAGTATCATTAGCCAGCAAGGCCATGTGAATCAGAACCACACTGAGTTTTCACATTACAATTCTTATTTTTCTTTTCTTTTCTTTTCTTTCCTTTTTTTTTTTTTTTTTTTT